ATTTCACGATTGGTCCCTGTGGTTTACACAATATCGCACTTTGAGGACTTTCTAGCAAAAAGTCACGCGAATGGTCCTTAAGGTTTCATTTAATTGCGCGATTGGTCCTTGACCCTAACCCCGTCATTTTTGAGCCGTTAGTGAAGGGGTAAATTTGTCTTTTCATCTTGTTGTGCATCAGAGTATATAATTTAAGGTCCGCCTTTGTATCCTTCTACTTCTCGTTCCTTGCCTCTGTTCTTCCCTCCCTACTCACATTCTATTCCAAAATTGAAGAAGATGGTGATATGCCACTGTGGAAGGCCGCGATTTTGGTGACATCGTGGACTGACTTGAACCCAGGTCGTCGATTTTGGTCATGCTCAAGGTTAGGAGGAACATGCAGCTTTTTTGGATGGTTCGACCCTCCCATGTGCCCTAGGTCAACTGTTGTGATTCCAGGGTTGTTGCGTGGAAGAAACAATCTCGAAGCAAGATTGATGATGGTGAAATGGCTACTTTGTCTGAGTTGGTTGTTTTTCATGGTGTGTTACCTTTTCAAGTAAAAAATCAAGAAGCATTTGGGGGGGGGGGGGGGAATCTATAACTTGGAATCTGTCTTTTGGTCCCATTTTTTCATAGCTTTTGAAGGATTTTCCCTATGATTGTATGTAATGTTGGGACAAGAAAATGTAACAGATATAATATGTAATGTAAGTTTGATGTTTTGTTTTAATGTGATGGATATTATATTAGCAAGGAAGGAAATTGTCAATTTGATTGCATGTAAGTGTAATGTTGATTATTAAAGTGCAGTAACATAGCCAAAAAACTAATTACCAAAGTAGCATTACCATTAACCATAATGCATGTAAGTGTAATATCATGTTACAAACATAGAATACCCAAAAGACCTATCAAAAGTAGTTGTTTTGACTGACATACCATAACCAAACTTAGTAAACATGTTCTAACTTTAATTAGACATAATAGCAAAAGATTACTTAGAAATACAAACTAAGAACTACAACATGTTTTCCCTTCTTTTGTCCACCCCCTCCAGCTTCACTAGGACCTCCCTGCCCCTTGCAAGTCCTAGCATTGTGACCTTTGTTGTGGCATTTGCTACAAGTGACTGTCAAGTGTTTCCTACTTAACTTGGTACTTTGAGTTGGCTCATCAACTGCCTCTTCCTTTTTTTCTTTGGCCTCACAACCTATAAACAAATTCATATGGTTACATATTAACAAGTTTATTAAATAGTTTCAAGTTAAATTAAACAAAACATGTATGACAACAAACCTGTTTGTGATGTTTGGGTGGGAGAAGGGTTGTTGGACAATCAGATCTAGGCCACATGCTCCTTCCATTTATTGGGTCAATTGTGTGTTGGTACATAGCATTCCATGTACTGAGCCAGTAACATTTGCTCACCCAAGCCTCAGGATCTCCACATTCTGACCCATTCTGCATCTTATCATACATTGCAGCAATAGCATGCTGGCATGGAATACCTGTAATGTCCCATTTCCTGCAAGTGCAACTCCTCTCTTTCAAATTCACAACATACTGCTCCATCCATAGACCAGTCACTTGATATTTATCAGCTCCATTAAATAGAACCCTCATCTTACTTGCCTCTGTCTTATTGTTTTCTAAGATTGTTGTTGCAGTTGTACTTAGAGAACCTTTGCATTTGTCTAGCACCTTATGAACATTTACTATTCTCTTTGTGAGGTATTCTCTAATATATTCCAAACAAGTGATTATAGGCTTGTCCCTTGCCTCATCTAGCTTGGAGTTAAATACCTCACACAAGTTATTTGTTAAACTATCAGTCAATGCCCTTCCTATATATAAAACCAAACAATTAATTACTGAAATCAGTTATGAAATATGTTAGTGAAAAGAGTATGATACTTACCAGAGAGAAATGGGATCTTGCCCAGTGTTTTGCAGGAATTTTACTTAAACACTCATGTGCTTCTGGGTTAAGCTTTTTCAGTTTCTCCATAGCCCTAAAATTTTGGTATGTTGTATACTTTTCCACAACACCATACTGCTTCCCTCAATTCATCTCCTTTGTGTTTCAATTTCATGTTGTCATACACATGTCTTAAACAGAACCTTTGCTCAGCTGATGGAAATAACTTCTCTATTGCAGCCAAGATTCCCTGTGAGTACAATTAAAATAAGTTAGTAAATGAAATAATAAAAAAAAGTAAAAGTGAATAAAAAGTTAGAGGGTACCTTTTGCCGATCTGAAATGAAAGTGAAGTTAGATGAAGAATTCAAATCTAAGTCATCACCCAAGTGTTCCAAAAACCATGTCCAAGAGTTAATATTTTCAGTCTCTACAATGGCATATGCAACTGGGTAAATGCCATTGTTCGAATCAAGCCCAACTGCAGTAAGAATTTGTCCTGGAAAGGGACCCTTCAAAAACGTACCATCAAATCCAAGAAAATCCCTCAAACCTTTTTTAAATCCCTCCTTCAATGGACCTAAGCATATATATATCCGTTTGAAGATCCTTGTCTCAGAAGACACATTGGGTTCAGTTTCGACATCTATCTTCACAGTTGTTCCTGGATTCTTTGACTTCAATTCCATGGCATATTCTCTCAAAACACCGTACTGCTTTTCATAATCACCATAAACATATTGTTTTGCCATAGCTTTGGCCCAAAATACTTTCATCTTTGATATTGAAAGTGAATACCTCTGTACTAACTCCTCTCGTAAAGCACGTGTAGGGATCTTGGGGTTACTTTCAACTTGATGCAATATGTTGTTAGCTAGAAACTTAGATGAACAAGCCCTCACTGTCCTTGTTTGCAAACAAGAATGAGAATCTTCGTATGTTTTGACAGTCCAAAGTTGTTTCTCATCTGCCCTAGATATAAAAAGAACCCACGGACAAGTTGTTTTTTTTGGAAAGTACTAAATTGCCCCTATCTTTATTACTGTCACCAGTCAATTCAGGAACAATACCCCTACACTTTACCCTAACTCTTGTCTTGTCATTCTTTACATAATGTAGATCCCTCCTTTCTTTTACAGAGTAGTTGGCAATAACTTCTCTTATTTTTTCCTTTTCCTTGAACGTCTGACCAATCTTAAAAGCTTTAGTGTGAACCTCACCAGATGAACAAGCAACTGGTTTTAGAATGGACCTTAACAATTTCTTCCTAGGCTCTTTTTCACTAGCAAATGACTCAAATACATCATTGTCTAAGACTTCTAAACGTTCATCTTCAATGTCTTCATGTTCTTTAGTATTATTGTTTGTCGGATCAAGCTGGCCCAAGTCAATGTCTTCATCAAGTACACTACAGAAGTTGATCATGTTCACCTCCACATCATCTATCAAAGGTTCCTCATCAAACACTATTTTTTTTGCATCATGCTGACTATCAAAATCACTTTCATCTGCACTATCCTCACAATCATATTCATCATCTACAACTGGATCATTATTCATAACTGGCTCATCATATTGGTCATCTATGATTGGCACATCATTCATAACAGGTACATCATTCATAACTGGTTCATCATTTAAATCTGGTTCATCATTCATAACTGGTTCATCATTCAAAACTGGCTCATCAGTCATAACTGGCTCATCATCCATAACTGGCTCACTATCCTTTATCACTTGTGAAGGTCCATCAAATGTTCCATATGGAACAATGGACTGGGAGTAGTCTAATTTTTTCCTAGAAGACCCAACAACTTTTCCCTTCTTTTGGTTCCTATCTAGTTCAGGGGATACATCAGTAACCAACTCCTCAATAATAACCTTGGTGGGGGACAAAAAATAACTGTTAACCCTTGTATGCCCATGCTCTATGTAGATACTTAAAAGGTTATTTTTTTCCACATAATTTGACAATACATGCACATCCCCATCATTTCCTAGAGGTAACAGACCAAAGTCCAACTCTACTTCTGGAATAAGAAAATGATAATACAAAGTTTGCCCTTCTACGTACCCTATTTCTCGAACCATTGTATCCAACTCATGCACAGAGAAAACGTCAATATCTACGAAGTCAACATAGTCTATTGTTCCATCTACGTACCTTCTCCCAGGGCTTTTCGTGAATATCCCACCATGATGGATTTTCAGAGTGAAATAGTTGCTTATTCCCTCTGAAATAAAGAATAACAAAAAAAATTTCAACAATTTGGGCATAATATCAAATCGAGAAAATCAAAGATCACTTTAGTAAGTCACTTACGGTATATCCTTTCCAAATCATAATTTGATGCTTTAGTGTGTTTGGAACGAAGTGACCATAACGTTAACACCATTATCGTTTTCAATCGACAGATGATCCTCTGCCTTGTGTTCTGTTGGAGAAGACGAAGATGAATGCGAAAGGGTAATGGGTAGCTGAGGAAGATGATCTTTGTACTTAATTACAGAGTTCATGCGTATATGTGCATAATGATCGATTATTAGAGTGACTGCAAGATGAAAAGACAAATTTACCCCTTCACTAACGGCTCAAAAATGACGGGGTTAGGGTCAAGGACCAATCGCGCAATTAAATGAAACCTTAAGGACCATTCGCGTGACTTTTTGCTAGAAAGTCCTCAAAGTGCGATATTGTCTAAACCACAGGGACCAATCGTGAAATTTTGTCAAGATTTTATAGCCTAAGAATGTTTGATTTCACCTTATTTCCCATTCCTTGTTTGGTTGTGCACTTAGGGTAGAATCAAGTATTCGACTATCTGTAGGATCCAGTGTTATGCATGGTTAGCATACACGAGTGCGGCAGGGTTGGCAGAAGTTTCATGGATGAGTTATGAGGGGTTAGCCGATCAGTATAGGGCTGTCTAGCCTTTCTATAGGAAGTGAGAATAAGGTGTATGTGTATTCTTGTGAATATTTTTAGGATTGTTGTGACGATCCCATGAGACAAATAGGGGTAGGTGTGGAAGGTAGTATTTGGCCTATACTACTAGAAATACATGACCCGTACGCGCAGCAGGGAAGTCAAAAACCCTACGATTTGTTGGTATATAGTCCCTTTGGTATGATATGCATTCTTTAATGACCTCTATGATGGGGTTCTACGATGATTATTATGTTGCACTTTCAGAGACCGCTGCTGCTGCACCTACCGCTGTCGTTGTTGCAGTCGGGATTGGCACTGGGAGAACTTTCCAGTACCAGAACATCGACAATACGAAGCCCTAGGCTTTTGAAGGGGTCCAGGATCTGATCATTACCATAAGGTGGTTGTCAAATATTGAGGAATGTTTCTTTACTTACTCTTTCCCCACTGACAAGAAGGTTAATTGCACTATGAACCTTCTTCAATCTGGAGTGAAGGATTGGTGGATATTGGTTTGTAGTTCATACACCCTAGAGCAATGAGCTACAGTTTCATGGGAGCAGTTCTTTGATATGTTCCCCTTGAGATATGTTCCAATGGTAGAGAGGGAGAGGCTAGCTTAGGATTGCTTGGATCTAAGTATGGAGACTGAGTCGGTGACAGATATAAGCAAGATGTTTACATATAGAGCTATGTTTTGTCCTGAGTTTGCTGCTTCTAAGCAAGCTCAAATGAAACGGTACTTCAGCAATGTCAAGAGGGAAATCTATCAGTTTGTGTCCATACAATGATACAGATCACTGGTGGATTTGCAAGAGACGCCAGGTGGAGTGAGATTAAGATGTAGCTCCAGGCGAGGGAGCATATGTAGGCCTTGACACAATCGCAGCCTACGCCAAAGCAGTTCAAGGTGCTGATGTTAGATCTGGGAGTCAGAGGGCCACACTTGTGGAAAGTGTGGCAAGGTTTATGAGGGTGCCTGCCGATCTTCTTCTTGATGCCACAAATGTTGCAGGCCGGGCCACATTACGAGGTACTGCTGACAATGGACTCTAATACCCAACACCAAGAGTTGTTATCACTATGATCATATAGGCCATGTAAAGGCCTATTGTCCGTTGCTTGCTGCCACACCAGCGCAAGATCCCGTACCGGCTACTTTAAGGATCACTAATGGTAAGGCGGAGACCCCGAGGGCTTGATTTTGCGATTTGCAACTCACCATCGGGGAAGCCAGAGAAGCGCCATACATTATGACCAGTATGTTTCTATTTAATGTTATGTCGATCATTTATATGGTATACTTATGCCATGTTTCTAATAGGTATGTACTTAGTGAACTCTTTTCCTAATCTTGTGTTATTTGACTCGGGTGCAAGTCACTCCATTATGTATCGATCTTTTAGTCGGGATTTTGGTATTCCCCTTAGTGAGTTAGAGTGTCTGTTGCTGATTTCTATCACCAACGAACACAAGGTTTCTGCATCCAGATTGTATCAGGGTTGTGTATTGGAGATCTTCGAGGTGCCTTATCCTATTGATCTGATCTCTATCCCCATGGTGGATGTATGCGTGATAGTGGGTATGGATTGGTTGAGTAGGTTTGGTGTCATGATCAATTGTGAGGGACAGTGATTAGTAGTTCAAATCCCAAGTGCGGAGAACTGGTTATCTATTGAGAGGGAACCAGGGTTGGTTCAGGGTTTTGTTAGGCATCCAGATTTCGACAATATATCAGCATGGGGTTACAGGTTATCCGACTTACGTGGATGATACTCACGCTGGGGAGTAGACTTCAGTCTCTGCGGTACCAGTTGTCATAGATTTCGCCGATGTATTCCAAAAGGAGTTACTCAGTGTGCCTCCCGAGAAGCAGATTGAGTTCAAGATTGATCTAGTGCTAGGTGCGGCTCTGATTGCCAAGGCATCGTACCGCTTGGCGTAACTTGAGATGTAACAGTTGTCCCCTCAGCATCAGAAGCTGCTAGGCAAGCAGTTCATCAGACTGAACAGTACTTCGCAGGGAGCGCTGATACTGCTCGTCAAGAAGAATGATGGTTCACATCGGATGTAGATTGATTAATGGGAGTTGAACAAGTTAACATTGAAGAACCTTTATCCCCTTCTGCGGATTGATAGCCTCTTTGATCAGTTGTAGGGTGCATCTTGGTTCTCCAAGATAGATCTGAGGTTAGGGGTATCATCACGTAAGAGTAAGAAAGGAGGACATGGATAAGAATGTGTTCTAGAATCGTTGTGGGAATTTCGAGTTCATGGTGATGCCAATTGGGCTCACCAATGCGCCTATTGTGTTTATGGATTTGATGAATCAGGTGTGCAGGCCGAAGCTCGACCGATCTGTTATACTATTTATTAATGATATCCTGGTGTATTCCAAGATCAGGGAGCAGCATATGGATTTGATGAATCGGGTGTTTATTGACGAAGTCTAGTTCAAGTAAGGGAGATTTATAGCATCCTAATGATGATGTACTTAAAATTTTGCCCCTATAACTGAATTATATTGAAATTTAGTCCCTAAGTTAAAGAAAGAGTGCAAAAGGGCCCATAGTGGCAATTTGTTAATTTCAGATTTTTGGGTGTACGTTAAGCATACTAAGGCGTGCCTTAGTACACTGGGCGTACACCTCGTATGCAGGGCGTACGTGAGGATCATGCAAACCCTATTTTTTAGGGTTTGGCTCATATTTAAACCTCATGAGAGCCTCACATTTCATTCTTATTAAACTTTCTTCTATGAAATCGACCCCCCCCCCCCCCCCAAGTAAGCCTTAGGAGTAAGAGAGAGCATTTTAGAGCCTTTGGAGAGATTTGAAGTGTTCATGAATCGGAAGAGAGTGGTGTCGAGAGCTTGGAGTTTGGGAAGCACTTTGGATATGAGATTTCCTTCTTGTTAGCAAGCACTAAAAGGGAAATAGTTTGCATCTTGATAACCCCATATTGTATATCAAGACTTTTACTCTTTTAAGACACTTTTTGTTCCCAAAATGTTGATTCTTGAGCATGTTATGTTCTTGACCCAATAAGTTGTCCTTTCAGACCTTTAGGAGGGTCTTGAGTCATAAAAATGTGATTTAGATGGTTAGTTTTGCTACATGCTTTCTTTAGAAGGTCTGAATACATTAAGATGTTATACTTGGGGTATTGGGCATTTAATGAACATGCAAACTCATAAAGTTGGAAAATTTATGACTCTCTATGCTATTTAAGCCTTATATTTGGAAGTTGGACGTGTGAGCTTAATACATTAAGATCTTAATGTATTTTTTGGAAGACTAGGTGTACGCCCTGTATAAACTAGGTACATAGTGCATACGTGGTCAACCTCCCAGATGGTCGTCAATCCTCGAGTAAGCCCCGTATACATGGCTGAGCTAAATTGGCTAGGTTGACTCAGTTGACTTTGACCATTTTCACTTTAACTTTGATCAAGGTGTATTTTGGGTATTTTGAATGGCATTAGAGAATTGGTCATTTGGATGAATAGGTGATGGTTAGAGACGATATTCGGAGTCGGACCCTCATCAACTATTTTTCAGTCTATGAGGTGTGTTTTCATTACTATACTTATGGGTCAAATGCACCAAGGCCGACCCATTGTATTTGATATCTTGCTCTATGATAGAATGTCGTTAGGCACTAGTGATCTGTTATATTTATTTGACAGTTGTTTTCCACTTATATGTTTATCTATTATATGTCCACATATTTTGGTTTGTGGTTGAGACTTTACTGCAATCTACATGAGCCAACAGACTGGGGCATTCCAACCTAATGTTTGATTGGGCTAGCAGGTACTCCATCCTGAGGATGACTGAACCTGTTGTATATTGTCATTCCATCCTAAGGTTTTCCGTCTCGATGATTACTAGACCCAGAGGTTGACTGGGCTTGGGCTATTCCAACCCGATGGTTGATTGGACCCAACATGTTTGTTTGTATATGTTATCTGTTTGTGTGTATTACTTTAGGGGAACTCACTAATCTTTGGCGTATAGTTTTAGTTAATTGTTTCAGGTACTTCTGATGATCATGGGAAGACGAAGGGTTGACCTTACACATCCTCTATTTTTTTTATGGCTTTTGTGATTTTGGGATACTCTGAAAGTGTTCAACAATTTGGAAACAATGATTTTGTAAACATTTTGACTATGGGTTTCTTTTAAAAAAATTTAAATTTGTTGTGATTTTGAGGCGTTACAAAAGTGAAAATCAATATCCATATTATTTTAGTATTGAAGAGGATCCTAAAAGATTTGATGAAGCAATGAAATCTCAAGATGATGCTTTTTAAAAAGAAACAATAAATGATGCAATGGATTCCATCACTAGAAATAACATTTGTGTTTTATTTGATTCTCCTCTTAGGTACAAACCTTTGGATTGTAAGTGTATTTTCTAGAAAAAAGGTGAAAGTTGATGGTTCAATTGAACAATTCAATGCAC